CGGCCGCTACCCGCCCTGGCCCCCGCAGCGCTCGCCTTCCCCGCGCGGCCGCCTCCGAGAGAGGGATGAACGCTCCGCGACCGGGCGGGTCCTATTGCCGCCCGGTTCTTCTCCGTCCTTCGGGGCGCTGGTCCGTGTTCGACGCGCGCCAGCCAATGTCAACCCCCCCACCCGCACCAGAGAGAGAAAAAGAGCGTACTGAGCGGGCGGGCAACAGGAATCCCTTTCTCCTTCCAACTTTAGAGCACCCCGTCTCCCCCCACCTTGTCTTTCAAGAATTATAAACTACATCCCCCAGAATGTCCTGCGTTGCCGGCGGTTGGCTGGCGCGAAAGCACTTGTGCGCATGCACTTCACCTCATTTCACCTTCTACAGTTGACAGCGGCCGAAAATAAAGGAAAAGAAAAAAAAAGAAAAGAAAAGTATGATGACTCGTGACGCATTTTTATTGCGACGATAGGGTTGGCTATCGATGATGATTTTCTCGTGCGTCTGGCGGGAAAGAGATATTGAGAGGAAGTGGGCAGTGGGAGGATTTCGAGGTTTTTGGTGAGGTGAGTTTTACTTCCAGCGCGACTATTAGGAGACCTAGCTTTTATTTAAACGCATGTGAAATTGTGTAACATTTGGACATCACCAGCGATCCGTACTCATAGAATTATTTATTACATTTATACCCAGCTTTTCCTCTGGGACTTAGTTTTGTATTGATATAATCGCCTCACAGTAAGGCCGCACCTCTACAGATATTTCCTTGACATTAAATCTTCTTCAGAGGCAGGGGTTATATTGACCTGTAATTGCATTTGAATGTTTTGGTTTGGGCATACTCTTGCATCCGGAATCTAAATATGTTTTCAAAGTGGCAAACATCATTGCTCTGACTCCAGCAGCCCAGTATATACTGTAAAGTAGGACTTCTTATTTTTAAAACCAAAACCAGACTTCTTATTTGTTCAACCAAAACCAAGAAAAGAGGCTCTTTTCAGAAGATCGTTTTTTCTTTTTCTTTAGCCATGCTGGCTTAGAAACCAGGAGATTGTGAGTTCTAGCCCTGCCTTAGGCATGAAAGCCTAATAATAATAATAATAATAATAATAATAATAATAA